AAAAAAAACCAATATATTTATGGCAATCATGACTATAAAATTGAAGACTTAAGAGTATCTCTAGAATATAGGAGATGGGTGTGGGTGTGGATGTGGGTATGGGGTATGGGTATGAGTGCGAGTAAAGCTGACAGTAATGCTCACACCCACCCACCCACACCCATACCCCACACCCACACTTACACCCACACCCCACACCCACCCACACCTACACCCACAGCCACAGCCACACCCACCCACACCCACCCACACCCACCCACACCCACAGCCACACCCACACACCCACACCCCTGTATGTAAAAAAACAAGAAATCTCCGATAGAGATTCATTATGAATGGAACTCAGATTAATATCTATCACTCTAAGTTCTACCGAAGACATTGCTTTTTAATAAATTTTTACAATTGTTTCACTAAATATCTGCCTTGACATATATCGTTAGACTTAACCATACTCATAAATTATGAGAAAATCCTTCTTAGCCAAAACAAATATTACTTTTAATGCTGTAGTAGAAATTCAAATTATAATGTCTGTTAGATGACAATTTATAATATGTTGATAGTAACTTATTTTATGTACGGACTCGACATGTCAGTTGAGCCCTTTAATCTGTCCATCTTGTAATATCAATAGGTGTCACTACAAACATTTTTTTATAATACTCATGTTAGACTAAATTCAGACTTTGAAAAATTCCGTATGATGATCAAGTTTCCCACAGAATAATTTCCATTAATTCAGCATTTTTTTGATACTGCTACCATAAAGTCAAATATATTCAGTTTTTTTTTGTAATCTAAAAATCACATCATCCATTTTCGTTTGATTTTCTCTACGAAAGAAATCCAAATACTTTTTAGTAGAATTTGGAAAATTCAACTGTAATAGAAATCGAAATTTTAATTTCAATTTCAACATAGATATAAATATCGAATTTCATTTTGTAATAAAATATTCGCTTGCATGAGCTTCTAAGGGAACAATAAATGAAAGGAATAGCAATTTGTTTTTGCGAAATATCAATTTAATGTATATATTCATATCTATAAAAAAATAATACCACGATAGCTGAAGATTTCATCAATGACCTTCACATGAAAAAAAAACAAATTTATTCTAAAATTAATAGATTTCTTTCATAATCAAGAAAAAATGGATGTTAAAAATAAATTATATAAAATTAGTTAATATTTACAAATGAGCATCGAGCACAAATGAACATATCATTCGAATCGAGAAATACGTACCATCAGCGTGAAATTTATATTCGGAGTACAAAGTTAATTATTGGTCAAATTTTGTGTTAGTATCGTAATATAGTTGTAGCACATAACCAGTAATAGAAAATAAATTATCATTAAAATATAGCACATCTATATTGATCATGGTTAAGTGATGAATTTTTTAATTTTAAGATAAATTTATGAAAAACTATAACGATTTGTGTATTAGATTTCTTTTGGAATGATGTTTAGAAAGTTAGGTTTGTTTTTGAAACTACATTGGACTATTATTGAAGGAATAGGATCTCAGAATCAAATGATTAACACGTTATTGTAAAAATTTAATTAATTTTTTTTCTTGATACACTTCAGAAACTTAATGAAGAAACTTCTTCTTCCTGAATGGCAAAAATGATTTCCTACACAGAATTCAACACGAAACCTGGCAAGTATAATTATCTAATGAGGTAAACAGGTAAAAATAATTATTCGCTTTTGGGTTGAATCTCTGTACATAAGATAATTGTCGATGAAATAAGAAAAATTCATAAAGGATGCCCTTCGTTAGTTCGTCTCCCAGATCAAGCCACGTGTGTCAGATTCATGTGAGAGAAGTATGAAAAACTCCAGACGAACGACGGTTCAAAAGTCTTCTTTCGAAAGTTACATCTATTTTCTTTCAATTTTAATCTATAGTACCACTGATATCAATAAGTAGAAGAAGACTAGTTCTATTTAATATTTTGTGAACGGAATAGTCTATGGATAAGGAGGATATCACAAGAATTTTAATTGAAAACAATGCGGTTTTTTTCAAAAATGCTCAAGTTCAACAATTCAACTCATATCTCACGAAAGATGATGAAATATTGTATTTTTTATGACATTCTTATCAATAGAGTGTGTTCCGTACATAAAATCTTAAATAAAAGTATATCTGAGCCCTCGTTTACTTGGAATTTTTCATGCTTCCCTCACATCTATCTGACACTGATTGCGCAAACGTAAAAGCAAATTGACATCTATATAGAGTTTCTCGTTAGCATTTCAATTTAAATTCTAGTAACAAAAGGATAATCTTCGAGAGAACAACAATGAGAGAAATCTTTGAAAGGTTTTTCTTATCTCAGCGACAACTAACTTATATACCCAGTATGGGTACTCTGCAAATTCTCAGTAATTTTACTGATGTATGTACCGTTTGAGGTATCCGAAAAAGTACATTCACTGAATAAGTATCTGCATAGATACACAAGTCTGTAATTTTACTGAGGAAAGCTCGGCTAGGTATCCGAACTTTGTCGCGTTCCATGTGGTGACTATTCATTCACTGTTTTCTTTTTTACATACGGCTCTATATAAACAACTTGATAAATCAGAAGAAAATCATCAATTTTCATATTAATTTTTCCTAATTTTTTCTAGATTATTTCTTAGTCGAGAAAATGTTGAGCTTGGTCGTAAATTAAGATCGGAGTACCCTGAAGTGATCTACGACCAATTCAAGTTGAGTTGGATCCCGAAATTGTTCCTGCTAAATTTTTGTAATTGAAAAATTAAATTGAATAAAGTAAAAAAAATCTAGTACATTATCTCAAGAAAAAGAAAAAATTTTAAAGAGTCAAAGATCAGGTTCGATCCTGTACATACTGAAAATTTGGTAACAGGGTACCTTTTTTGGGTACCGTTAACTCAGTATATTCTCTAGAGTCCATGATTGATTCATATTTCTTTGAGCATGTGTTTTTTTTTGTTTGTTTTCTTATTATCAAATAATGTTCTAATACAAATTTCTGTAAGACTCCTGTTGACTTCATGTCTTTGCTATGGAAATAAAATTATGTTCAATACTTTTAGAATGTTCTATCCAATAGCACTGAAATATGAAAATCTAGTTTTTCAGAAAGTTTGGTTAATTGAATGTCAAAAGCTATTGAATAGTTTCGGTTTCAATACGCTGAACTATACAACTTCGAGCATATTGGTACATTCTGTCTATTACAAATAGTAACATCTATTAAGTTCGTTTGTGGTACAAATTGATGGGATAGATGGACATAGTTGTGACTGTCCGTATTGTTTCTCAACGAAGAGAAGAAGCACACTCATATACTCAATACCCCAAAAATCGTGATGTAAGTTATTATACTCTAGTAGAACATCGTTTCATGTAAATGCTGAATGAATGACAGTGTTCTTTCTTTTGCTAATTACCTTAAGCGATATGCGGTGTTTGGATGTCTTACTAAATTATATAGAAGCCACATTCATAAAATAAATTTATTTGACTGAATAATTTTATCCAGAAAATTTTTAATAATTCTTAAAGGTTGAGCTTTCAAAAAGATAACAAATAAAAATTTCAAGATTAAAGTGTTATGATGGAAAATGAATCTCAAAAATAAAATAATAATAAAAGTTATCAATAAGATCAGAACATATTGACTCGATTTCAATCAAGTAGATATTGAATATCTAATAGTTCAAAATTATAGTTTTTACAATAAAAGATAGGATCAGTAGTAAGATATTTAGAAGTAAACCTGTGGTCTAAAAAACGAGTTCTGCCATGCTACTTTTTGAAAAAATTTAAAAGGGAGAATATAGTTTTCTTTTATGTTTGAGTATCAGAACTGTTCGTAGTTACTGGACGATTGGAAATGGTAGTTCGGCTAGATAAAGTCACTGATTAACATGGTTGCACCACAAATGAATGTTTGCCAATATGGATCTTCAAATGCAGCTTGATCGAGCCAAACTGTCATTCTATTATCTGTAACTTGGAACAAAAATTTAGTGTTTCGTCGTAAATCATATTCCCATTTTTTTCTCTCATAGTTATAGTCATAAGAATAAGGGCTATAACTTTTGTCATTTCGAAAGGTGAGACTGCGAAGAGATACTAAATATTTCTTCAGTAGTGAAATATTCTGTAAACTGGATGTATCTATTTTGAGATGTTCTATGTAAGGAAAGCACTTGGCAATAATAAAAATACTTTCTTCATTGAAGTCATGCTTACAAATAGATAAATTAAGGTCTTTTACACAATACATATTTTCCATGAAAATATCTATATTTGCCAAGAACAGATCTAATTTCATTTCAAGTGAATTCATATTTGTAACACATTTCAATAGTCTATGTAATTCAATAATCATTTCTGGCGAGCATCTTATAGCGACTTGTCGAATATTAGAACAATTTACATGTGAACACAACCATGTAAGTAAATCATTATTCATATTATTGACAATAAGACATTTCACATTGTCGAAGTAGTATGCACATGATGTCAGATTGTTGATGTTATGGAGACTCAAAGTTATGCTTTTATTAATTATCATAAGATTATTATGAATATTACGATTTGGTGCTATCCAACACTGAATCATAGGCCAATCAAATTCATCCCAAACATGAAATTTTGTATCATCTATGCCAAAGCCAACCGAATTCGGATGTTCATGTTTGGTTACCATTAGATTAAAATTCTGTTCTGAACTCCAATACGAGTTTTGAAAAGACGAGAGCACATTATGTATTCCAATTTTTTCGACACGATCTGAAGTTGTTCGAAGAATAAAGTGAGTTAGTGATGGTAACGATGTTTCCAACAACAGCTTCCATCTATTTGCATCAAGAAGCTTATCGTGTGCCTTAATCTCAAGATATTTTAAAGCATGCATAGAAGTAAAGCATTCTGTTAACATATCCATCGTTATTACACTGTTCTCAACAAAATATAAGATGAGTGTACGAAGCGTCGACATTACCGGAATGATTATTTTTGAATGCTTGTTTTTTTCATCATAAAAACGCATTCTTCTATCGTCTATTTCAACATCAAGATATTTAAGACGAGGAGTACATTGAAAGTTATATTGTAAATCTTGAAATTTATAACATATACCAGAAACAGTCAAATGCTCAATATTCGACGACATATTTACTAAATTATTCCAGTTCATATCATTTAAGTCACTCAAGAGAGAAAAACTTTTTAATGATTTTAAACCAAAAAGACGGATAATGATGTTTTTCATTGAAAATCTATTTCTTTCGATATTTGCCTTGATTGATAAAGTATCAAGATTCGTTTCTAATAAGGACTCAAGAGCATCTTCAATAGTACTCCAATTGAGAGCTTGATCATTAAAATGAAAATAAAGTTTTCGAAGTTGTTTAAATAATGTAAATGATTTAAAGAAAGATAGAAAAGCATAAACTTGACCAGGTGTGTCTTGGTCAGACATGGCTAATTTTTCTATTTTGTCAATATAGGCCAGTAAAAGGCCCATACAAAAACGCAAATCATCTTGAGGACATTGAATAAAATTAAAACGAAGTCGTTGAGATTGAATAATAAGTGAATCAAATCGTTGATTGAGTTGAAAACTAAAAGCTCTTAATAGATCTACACCATTAATATATTTCTCAATAATATCAGTTAATATTTCATTTGGAAGTGATTCAAATTTAGTAGGTGACATCTCTATGAAAAGAAAGTAGAAAGAACTGACGAGTAATAAAGGCACTCTATTGAAACAGCGTCATGTTGATTTCGTATCTTTCTTTCAACAAAATAAAATAGTTGCCAGAAGAAGAAAAAAAATTTTATCGTGATGACTAATATTTCAATGATGTTCACTCGCTTTCTTTTTTGTAAAAAACAAGGTGTGCTCAAGTTCGCTTTTTTTTTCTAAACCAATAAATATTTTATTAGTATTCATAAACGATGACAAATGTGCCTACGTTAGCCATTTTCATATTTGAATGTCAATATATTTTTCATAAAAAAATGAAAAAGCAAGCGATGCATATGAGAAAAAAGACTGGTTTTTATGTCACCAATTGTATGACGGTAATTCTCAATGAGACCATATTTTCATTAAGAAGTATTATTTTATCTCAAATATGAGTATTTTTATGAAGAAATGCATAATGTAAACTCAAAATGATATTCATTTTCTAAACTCTTCTTCACCGATTCACTCATCGATTTTTTTTCCTCTTTATGTATGAATCTTGTGGTTTTACATGAATAAAAACATTGTATTTAACTGAAATTGATAATATTGACCCTCTCAAACAAAATGTACTAATCAATATTTTAATAATATGTTTTTCAGTATCCTTTCATTCAAAGTTAATTTTCTCATTAACCAATAAGGATTTTATCTATATAGGATGGCGCAAAAGTCGGTTTATCGAAAAAAATTGAATGTCTCCATTGAGGCTCAGATAAAGGAGCTAATATTTTCATCAATGATAGAAGCATGTTCAAAGTTTATCTCCATAAAGACATGTTCAGAGAAATTCTTTGTTAAGTATAGCCATTGTTCTTAATAAAAAATATTTTCTTTATCATAAATAAGAAAAAAGAAAGATATACTTAGTTACGAATTTCTCTAGGTATGTCTTTATTGATAGAAAGCTTAAACATACCACTAACATAGAAAGAAAAATCAACTCATTTGCTTGTGTTGTGATGGAATTATGATATTTTTTCTCGTAAAGTGACTCTCACGCTATCTTGCATTTCGGGTTTCCTATCATTTTTTTTCTATCTGTGATAATGCAAATTTTTTTTGTTAAGATCAATCGTTGTATTCAACAAAGAATTTCTCTGAACATCTCTTTGTAGATATAAATTTTGAACATGCTTCTATCATTGATAAAAAAATTAGCTACTTAACCTGACCCGTAATAGAGATATTCGAATTTTTTTCGGCGAACCCACTTGTGCGCCATTCTGTACTTCATCACCTCTCTTTATTTGAGAAGTAAGATCAAGGGAAAAAAGGCAGACTTGAAGTAGAAAAGTACAATAAAGTACAAAAAGTACTTCAAATAACTCAAAGTAGCTTAAAGTATTCCAAAGTACCTGAAAATTACGTTTAAGTATCTTCAGATTACGATATAGTACTTTAAAGTATCCTAAAAGATCTCGATATACACAGAACAAAATTTAATCATCTTGAAAAAGTATGAACGATTAGTTTATTAATTTTTAATGAGAGTAGGCACTAATAAACCAGAAAAAATTAGATCAATAAAGGACGAGGGCCGTTTTAGGCACATTTCGGCTCAATTGAAAATAATGGCGGATTTAGATGAAACTTTCAGCAAATATTCGACTATGTGTCGGTAGTCACCACTCTATATTTCAACTCGATCCGATAAATTTTTCCTTTACTTTGGCCATCAAGAACATAGGTTCTGTTTAGACGTAAATACACTCAATATAGGATACTTTGTGGAGCTTCCTTCTCCACTATAGGGTTCAGACTTAGAGTGATTCTTTTAGGATCATTAGAAATCAGTGAGACCTACAATACTGAAATGATATGAGACCCAAAAAGAACCAGCCGTGGTATCACTTTGAAATACACAGTGCCAAACATCCCTGAAAGAGACCTGTAGAAGCAACCTTGCAGACTTTTGTTCTTCAGTATACTATTCAGACCCAGAATGATTCTTTTTAGGGTAACTTGAAATCAGTGAGGGTTACAACATTGCAAGGTTATAAGACCCAGAAAAAACCTGCCGTCGTATTATTTGAAAGTACACAGTGCTGAAGATCCGTGAAAAAAGCACCATAAACGCAATCTTGTTGGTCTTCGTTTTCCACTACTCTATTCAGATCCAGAGTGATTTCTTTAGAGACACTACCCAGTGAAAAAATTTCAAACTATATCAGATTATGTGAGATTATAACCGGGTTTTTGTGAATCAAAATCCAAATTTTAATCGATTGACATCTTTCAAATCAAATATAGTCTGATTTTTAATAAAAAATAGTGTCGTAAATCAAGCAAAACTCCGATTAAAATAATCTATTTTTGATTGACTATGATTTTTAATCGAAAATATAAGATTTTAATCAGTGTTTTACTTGATTTACGAGGTTGTTTTTGATTAAAAACCAGATTATAGTTGATTTGGAAGATTTCAATCGATTAAAATTCGAATTTTGTTTCACGAAAATCCGATTAAAATCTCATATCACCTGACATAATCTGAAATTTTTTCAGTGGATAGAAATCAGTAAGGGGTACAATATTGCAACGACATGAAGTGCGAAAAATGTGATATGATATCACTTTGAATTGCATGGGAATTCATTGAGGAGTAAAAGTGGTGATAGAGGCAACTTTGAACACTATTACCGGGTAGCATCTGAGTGCGTGTTCGAAATGTTTTTCGAGACATCTAGCACTGCGTGATCCTAGGAAATGATAGACCACAAAGGAAGAGAACGATGCAGATGTCAAGTGCGCACATCAGTACGCGCTAAAGATTCATGACAGTGTGCCAGCTTCTGTTATGGATTCATCAAGACAGATACAACTAAGTGTTACGCACGATGAAGTAGAATGGTGAAATTCCCATATAAGTTTTTATATGGGTATGTAGGAACTTCGGAGGCTAACGTTTTTTTAAGTAGTGATTGTATATGAGGAAAAACAGATGTTGAATGTTATGTTCTTCAATCGGTGACCACATTGTAAATTGGACAGCGGTATTCATGGTCTCAAAGAAATAGGCCTGTTTGTGCGTAATAGAGTGAAAAACGTTCTGGCAGCAGACAGAAATCTACGTGATATCGCAGCACATTGCTATGAACAATAGATATTATCGTACGATGCATTGAAACTCGGTTTTTACATTGCATGACAAATCGAATTTGCTAGCCGTTTAGGCTCTCCTTAGAATCGCTGATCAACATTGGTGGTAGTTCCAATGTAAATACTTGGTCGCATGGTATCTTGAGGGTGTGTGACGGTTGATGTAGTAATAAAGTATCGCACTCATTCACATACAGAATATACATTTTCGTAAGTTTTTAACGCATACTATTGTGCACACGTGACACTGCATCCTTCTGTTACTTACTGGCCTATTGTTTTCCATCTTCACGCAAATCTAAATATGCCGAAAAAAGTTTTTAACCGTAGCTTGAACACCCCATAATAATAGTATCTAAAGTTTCTTCACTCCTCACTTTTATTCTTCATTGGAATCGTATATACCTCAAAGTGATACGACGGCTGGTTCTTTTTGGGTCTCATGTCCTTGCAATATGGTAGGCCTCACTGATTTCTACTGACCCTAAAAGAATCACTCTAAGTTTGAATCGTATAGTGATGAAGGAAACTCCACCAGGTATCCAGTACAGAGTGACTTTACGAGTATATAGAACCTATGTTTTTGATGGCCGAAGTATAGGAAAAGTTCATCGGATCGAGTTGAAATATAGAGTGGTGACTACCGACACAGAGTCGAATATTTGCTGAAAGTTTCATGTACATCCGCCAATATTTTCAATTGAGCCGAAATGTGCCTAAAACGTCCCTCGTCCTTTATTGATACTTGAGTACATAGAAGTGTTGAAAGTACTTGAAAGTTCGTATGAAGTAGCTCAAAATCTGCTGAAAGTACTATAAATTACCTCGCAGTATTTAAAAATAGTGTAAAATACTTGAAGTACGAAAGTCTGCCCTTTCCCCCTTGAGTAAGATTCTCAAGCAGTTTGCACATATGAGCGTAATACAACCCTTCTTCGCACAGAGTGTGGGTGGGGTGTGGGTGGCTGAGAATGTAAGTAAGCAATGATCTACACATACACCCACACCCTCAAGATATCAATTGAAATGGAAATAAAACGATGTCATACATTTCACATGTGTGTGTACGTGCGTATAACTTCTTCTAAGATTAACACACATGCTCGCTCTTTGTTTCTCATATATCCAATGGTAGCGATGAAATTCAATGTGATCAATGACTTCTTTGTTGTACATAATTATTGTCGATTTTATACTGATTGTTTGTGAAACTAGATGAAATAACATACAATGCAAAAGCAATGACACGATATGTTGATCCTTACAAAAACAAAGAAGTACTAAAGAAAACCATATCAAGTTTGTAAAAGTATTCATAGAAAACGAATAAGATTTCTTCTTTGGAATAAGATTATCTTCTTGAGTTGCATACTGATATTTTGACATAGTATATGACATATTGACATTATCTGGGATAGATTGTTCTCGAAAGATGTAAGATCAAACTGATGATTTCATCAAATATAAATAATATTTCTGTGACAGTATATCCATATCGGATCCAAGGAGTCGAAATTTATTGTTTCTACCAAAATTAATAAAAATAATAAATCATTGACTTCTATCCAAGAGGGAAACAGTACACTTTTGTACTTCAAGTACTTTGCGCTACTTTGAGTTACATTGAGCTACTTAAAGCTACTTTAGGCCTACTTCAAGTAAAGTACTTTGCCGTACTTTTCCACTTCAAGCCTGCTGTTTCCCCCCTGGTTGATTTGGAGTGGGTCTGGGTGCGAAAAGAAGACCCACACCCACACCCTGGTTCACCAACTTCCGTCGGAGTTGACAACCGGAGTTGCCCAGCTCTGCCACCCACACCTGCATCCAAAGAAAAAGTTGTCATCACCTGATAAGAAAAATACATTTATATAAGAATGACATATCAAAAAGAAAAGACTTCAGGCATTATTGAATGAAAATGAGATGGAATATGTCTGTAAAGATCCCAATCATTGCATTTCAAAGGTGTCTTAGCTGCAGATTTTTCAGAGTAAAATCAAGAGTAAATTTAATGTACTTGTTGAAAAATAACAGTTGAAGAATAATTTTCGTTTTCTTTAGTTGAAGTTGATATCGTCATTGAGTAAACGATTACTGTGCAAATACAGAATGAAAAAAGAAAATCAATGCTTCAAGTCTTTTTTTTTCTTTCCTTCAAAAACCAACATGAGAATTTTCTCTCATTCTTCGTTTATATTTAACAAAATTTCTTCTGTAAAAAAATCTCAAATTTTCATCCTTATGCTTCGAATTAGAAATTAGTAAGATTCGCTAAAACAAAAATCGAATTTTTAATAATTTTCGATATTTTCAGTAATATATATATATTATTAATATTTATCGGACTATTATTAATATTAAATCTCTATAAATTACAATCAACTTCATCAGTTATAAAATCAAGCCGATGGAAAAAAGATCGTCTTGTAGTAATTCCAGCAATATATAAGGAAATCGATTGGTTAAATCATTCCAAATGGCCGAAATGGTTACGTTATGGACTTGATTTATTTAATAAAAATCAATCAAGAATATATGATGTTTATTTATATCAACGTTTTGATCCCAAGTCCAATCCACCATTTAATTGGCCATATTCGATCAATGTTCATGAAGAATCCGGTATTTATTTAAAATTCATTTATGACTTCTATCATGATTTACCAGATAAAATGTTATTTATTCATGGAAATCCATTTCAACATACATTACATCCATTTGAAGCAATACAATGTATTCGTGATGATGTTTTTTATACATCAATCAATAATCTTTGGATACAAAATCATCCATGGACATCACAAGTTCGTGATCCAATTGATAATCAGACTTTGATGTATAAATGTGCCAAATATTTACTTAGTTTATTTGGCTTTGATGGTGATTCGCAATTAAATCCACATCATATACAACCAAAAGAACATAGTGTTGTTTCCGCGATGTGTTGTGCACAATTTTATGTAAGAAAAGAACGAATTTTACATTATACTTATGAACAATGGTCAGCAGTTTACAATGCAAGTCTTCAGCCATATTGTGCATCACCACTTGATCGGGAAATACCTGGTGGAAGAGGAATGAAATGGTTTGGTGGAAGTTTCGAATATATTTGGCATATTATTCTTGGTCTTTATCCATCAGATATGTTACCACCAACAGCGAAAACAACTACAGATTTATGTCATTATTTTCATCCATCATGTAAAGATTTCCTATGTCAAAAAGCATATATCCAAGTTTATCTTTATCCAGATCCGAAATCGAATAATACTAATTAAATGTGTGTACGGAGTGTGTCCGAATAATTTAGTTTATTGTGTAAGAAAAATCACACACATTCTACTCTCTTTGTCGTATGATTATGAACAAAACTTTTCAATTTGATACCCATTAATGCCAAACACAAAGTGTCCTTTTTGAATTTTGCGTTCTGCGAATGGTTGATTTAAATTTAAGTTGACAAAAGTAAATTTTTGTTGACCTTGTATTTTTGATGAGTGATGATTCAATATTAATGTATATTTTTCAATAGCAGCATAACTTTTTAAAGCTTTTGTTTGATAAACAAAATTGTAACCATTAATCCTTTCAGGCCCACGGGTCAGCTAATGGATGAAATACGTTTTCGATTTTATATTTAATGTCAGAAGTGTGTTATGAATATTTCCATCAAAATCTTTAAATAGCTTTCA